AGGAGGTGGCGTTACGTGTACAAACAGAGCAAACTGGAGAATATTAAGCATTATCATAAGATTACTGCCATCCTTCATGACGTTCGGCATCTGTTTTAAAAGCACAAAACCTCATTTTGGACCCTTTGCATCTTCAAAAGTTTGAGGGTAAATGTTCAGTCTCCACAAAAGTAACACAGATGACAGATACAGATTGTAATTTTCTCCTCGTTGACTCATGGACAACAACAAGGCAAAAGGCCCACGTGGACATTACAGTCTTACTGTTGCATTTTTTGTAATGACAGCACAAGTGTTTGTCAGTCTGATACTCTCTGATCAGGAACTGTAACGGTCATGTCGGGCCTGATCTCCTGAAACTTTGTTCACTCTCAGCTCTATTAATTTGGACTGCCTTCTTATCTCATAGCATGAAAATCTCTCCCATAAGCAAGGAATATAACCTTAGCCTCAACCTCCCTGTAACCTGAAGTTTTGTGATGTAACAAAACAGACGGAAAATGCCTTTGTCAAATTTGCATATACTGTATATCATACACCAATCAGCCATAACATTATTACCACTGTCAGGTGAAGTGACAGTGCTCATCTCTCTTCATCATGGCAAAAATGGGAAACTGTGAACCTTATCATATGTTTATCACTGTGTTGTCACTAACATCCTTGGTCCCCTTCTCTGTGAAAGAGTAAGAATCACAAATCCAGGTTTACATATTCTGACACCATTGTAACCCTAGTTGAGTCAGCCAGATTACAAAATGGTGGTGGCTTAATCTTAGCTAACAGGGACACTGTAACTGGATCTAGCCCTGTGCAAATTTCCCATTGCATCCATATCTAAAGAGGGACACACATGACTAATCATGCAAGATATTATTCTTATGACCTGAAATGGGCATCCAGACTGCAGTTCAAGAAATCACTTGACAGAATCACCAGTTGCTGTAAATGTGGTCCTGTGGGCTTTACTATATGATGCAGACAGGCTTACGTAAGCTCACTTCTCATGTAGATGGCTCGACTTCCAGAGAAAAGAGGGGGGACACAGCAGAACAGAAGGTGGGGAGCGGGAGCGTGAAAGAATTCATTTATATCCCCTCTGCAAATAACCCACGACTGTATCAAATGTCAAATTAAATGGGTGAGGTCTGAAAAAGGTGTGTTATTGATTTTCACACCCATGCAGTAAATGGAGGAGAGGGGGGGGAGTTAGGATAGAGCTTGATTTGACTCCACGGGTCTGAGATAATAAGCAGCCCCAGCACAAAAGCAGGCAAGGCGGAGGGAGGGAGGAAAGGAGCGAGACGCAGAGTGAAGACAATGAAGGAAATAGAAAGCGACAAGAAAAGACAGAGGGGATACGAGGCCCTGCAGCAACCCCTGAAAAAAAGACTTGGTGAGGGAAGGACTGACTCATGCTCCACAGGATAATAGCAATTTCTACCTTCATATCACACAGCCAGTGTTTCCTCCTTCATCTGGTCCGTTCCAGACTTCTAAATGAAGATCAGTGTCACAGGTGCAACAAGTGCTGTCGCTCTTCATTCTTCTACCTGTCCAAGCACTGCAGATGGAAATTAGCTCATGGTTAAATTTTGTACAATGCATCTCATCTGTGTGATTAATTGTCTTGTGCATAGTCACTGATAATTAAACTAAACTTCTTGTGAGATGCTCTCCACAGGTGGCTATAGCAGCCAAAGCAGACCTAGTTCAATCCTTTTTCCAGTTCTGCAAAGTGAAGTCCACACTAAGCCGACCTAAACCTGAGTTCTTTCTAATGGCTAGCAGGGGGTGTCTCCCTGGGTTGCAAAAGGTAGCCCGATTATATAGAAATGGCCATTCTCTCTTTTGATGCATCACCTCAGACCTCCCCTTTCCTGATGAGTTTATGGACTCAAGTAGTATCAGGAACCTTTTTAGGACCAAACTGATTGCCAACAACCTCCGGCAACCACTTGCCAATCGATCAGGGAATAGTCATTTTTCCCTACTAAGCGCTGGTTGAAAGGATCTTGCAGGCTGGTCTCTAGGCATGTCCAAGAGGAAAAAACAAGTGAATATATTTGGATCACATAAACACATATCATCTCTGTGATAAGGATGTTCAGCACCAGGGTTGCAAATTGCGCGACTAAAAGAATATGCCAGCGTACAAGTTTCATATGTACATAACAGGCATCAAAAAGCTTAGATTCATGATGTAGTTCCAGCACATTTGTTTTGCAGTTATAGGAAAGCAAAAATAAAGAAGCTTCAAGTGTCACTCAGAGAAATCACTTGAGCCTCCAATATGGAGTCCAAGTCAAATGTTTGTGACTAGCAATGTTTCTGCCTTGAATTTGGGTTTTAAGTAGAACTTTATGTCAGTTAATTGTGATAGCCCTTTTCTTCAAACACAACAAACGGCAATATCTTTATATTATTGTCTTTGTGTTGTTTTACATATTTTCCTCTCTGAATCGAGAGGGACTTGTGTATGCAAAATAAAGTGATGCAAAAGAAAAAAAAAATCTAACTTCACCCAAGCAATGCATTCTTTTACTACCTAGCAGATCTGGACCAACAATGAAGTGACTGTTAATAAGCAACATGCAGCCGTTCAACGTCTGCGGACATGAAAATACTAATTAACCTTCAGCTGGTAAAGGTTTTTTGAAATCACAGTTTGCCCAAGCTTTTGGTTGTGGTCTTCACAGATGACCCAGCTGAGTCACAGTTACCCTGAATCATCACCAAGGACACACCTCTAGGCGAGCGTAGCGAACGCTTCGTTCATCTAACATAAATTCAACCGAATGTTTTTCATCACAAAAATTATTTCTTGACCACTTGTGAAACCCTTCAAGGCAACACATTATTTCTGTATCTACAGGGGAAAAAAACTCCCCTGCTTATTTAATGCCTTTATGATCTGAGACACTAAGCCTGCGATGGTTTCCAAACAAACCTCTTTATGACCTGGACTTTTTTTATATATATTTCCGCACAGATTATTTTTCTTGTGGTCCAGGAGCTGATTTGTCAGCTCAACACTTCTGACTGCAGGAGATTTAGATTGTGTTTATTAAAATGTTAGTATAACAGTGGTTCCCAGCCAGGGCTACATACCCCACAGAGTACTCACAGTTACCTGGGGCTACTATTGTAGAGCACATTCACATTACTTTGTGGGGAAAATAAATATATACATGAGATAAAAGGTAATATATTATTACATTTATTTCTGCACTAACTAATAAAATTCCAATTCCAATTAAATGAGAACTGGCAACTGAAGTTTATTTACCACGTTACAGTACCAACCAAGTACCACACATCTACCTCATGTTCTGGGGTTAATGTGGGCAGCTAGTTGTGATGTTTAAAAAGGTTTTTAAAAAATGAAAAATTCTGGATGAAGGTATCACAAAAGCATGAGTTCAACCAAATTTCAGCAAGAAAAACTGATTTTCTGTTGACTAGATGTCATAAGATACCTAAATGATACACAGCTTAAAGATAAAATATTTATTTTTCCTCTATTTTTTTATACCACATTTGATTAGTTGATTCCCAACTGACCTTTTTACCATATTATGAAAACATGTTTATGTCATGTCATGTATTTATGTCGTTAATATTTATTAGGATGTATATTATGTTTCTCATAGTGTTATCTTGATTTCTGCGTTGCAAGAAAAGTTAATTTGTACAAAGCTCTGAACAGTGAAAGTTTACTGTTCTAACGTGTTAGGGTGGTGAAGATGCTTTGGTAAGTAATATTTCACCTTTTGCTCATTAAGTCCTTTGTCTTTCCCAACTAAAAGGTAGGTTATGTGTCCTGTCCTCCATGTATTTTACAGTGATGTTAGTATTATATTTCCCTATCCACACTCCCGTTTGCAGTGTGTCAGCCCATCTATGAAGCAGATTCTTTATAACTTTCGGTCACGATACAGCACACCTTTTATTTTGAGGTAAGCTGATTTTGGATGCATTTTGCTCACTCATATGCAGCTTATTACTGTGAGCTAATATGGAAATTTCACTTCTATACTTTGCTCCTGGTGTTTCATCAATGCCTTCCAGCTCATGGTTGCATTTATCCAACCTGGCCATTACACTTGTGGCCTTTCCTCTCTGAAGACCTGTTGTCTTGCCTGACGCTCTCTTGCATGGTGCTTTGCACGCACAGCTTCATCTGCCCACAGTCAGTGCTGTTCAGCCATTCCTCCAGTAGGGTTTTTTGTAAGAGAAGTGTTGGCTTAGCCTTCATCATCTGTAGTGTTGACTCAGGGGGTAGATCAAATTGAACTCTTTAGCGTTGCTATTTATTTTGTGTGATTTTCCATTATTTTGATTTAGAGACTGTGTATATATGGCGCTTCCTCTTCTTAATGCAGAGTTGTGAACCTTTATTTGTTTATTTATAATGCCTTAAATTAACTTGTAATACTTACGTGTAATGTTTTGCTATTGTTACTGTTACTCATCTGGATTCTTGGGCCAAGCTGCCATTAAACCACTGAAACCAGCTTATTGTGATTTGACTGATTACTGATTGTGTTTTTCTCTTCCCAGTTGGTTGGTTGGAGTGGGTGTTAAATTTGGTGGGCAGTCTGGCCGTGTTCCCTGCACTTATAGTAAGTCCTATTGTTGTTCCCTTTCAGTCTTTAATCCCCATTTGTTCTAATGGCAGTGTTTAGATCATGTGTACCACAGATATGTATTTTTGTTCAAGGCAACCTTTTGCACAAACTTCATTTGCTGTTTTTGGCATAGAAATTATCAAAAATTTTCAATTTATATATAATATAATATAATATAATATAATATAATATAATATAATATAATATAATATTGAAATAAAACTGCTGGTATCCCCCCTTTGTTTTACTGTTGTTTCCCCTGTGGGATAAAAAGATGACAGATATTAAATGCAATGCAGGGCCAAGACTAAGACAACCAATATTGTCAACATTCAGTGGACGTCCTTCATCCTCCACAATCCTAAAGCACATCTTAAGCATCCACATGCATGAAGCTTCTGATATGCTGAGCCTTCAGCACTCACAGTGGACACGCTGACAGCAGATCTATCATCAGGATGGCTTCAAATCATCTTAAACGTAGATTCTCTTTCAAGGTTTTGTCTCTTACTATGAACTCACTCAGGAGCTTATTCACATTATATGATGTTGAACCCACTGTAATTAATTTGTACACATATAACAATACTGTAAGCATGAAGTAGGCTCTACCAGTAAATCCACTGTTAAAGGGCCTATAAAGAAACACACCTTTATAATTCTATAGTGTAAAAGCAAACATGTTTAATGAACCATCCTCTTTTAAATCCAATAAGCTGGGCTGGAGATGTCTTATGCAATTACAATAATATGTTACACTATATTACACAGACTGAAGAAGTCACAAACGCTACGTCCAGATGAACAGAGTCAACCTTTTGGGACTATATCACACAGTGCCCGTTGTACAAGATACAGTGAGAAGACCAAAATGCCTGCCCGTCTTCCATGTAATTTATTTTATTTTAACCACTGTCCTCTGGCTCAGAAGTGTCCAAACAAACAAACTTTGTTTCAACAAGAAAATTTTAAATAAATAGATAAAAGAAAAAAATTTTTTATTTGTGTGTACAGGTGATTTGTTTATTCCCTCAGTTGAAGGTGAATAAGTTGGCACTAAAGGCTTAGGGATAAACGGTCTCTGAGGAATCTCTACAAAGATATTACAATAAACATAACAATAAATAGATTTATAAATACAACCTTCTACAAATATTCTTCATGTATTCTAGTTCATTACAAAAAAGAAGAAACCATTTCAACTCTTTTGGCTGATCCAGGAAAGGAAACCACATTATTTCCATATTACTCTTGGAGTAAAGTAGCTTTGCATGACTTTCAGTCCAAAATAACCAATGAACTCCACCAGTTCATCCTCTGTTTCCACTCCTCTCCCTTTATGGCTCAGTAACACATGAGTAACATTAGCGCAGCAACCTCCTGTCTAGGAAAAAAGATGCTCTCCAGTGATTGCATTAAGTCTTTTTTGCTTTCAGTAGTTGTGGTGAAGTAGTTCCCCAGAGGCTGAGCGCACTACACCTTCTACACCTCTGAGCAACCACTTTAGATTGCAAGCCAGTTGCACAGGTTGTCTGCTGGGAGGCAGCCTGTCTCCAAACAATTGCAGTCAGGTTTTATTGACTGCAGTCACTCTCAGACAAACAGGCAAGGGAAAGGTTTTTCCAATAACTGGCATGTAACTGAAACAGGGACAGATTGGCTACATGCTGCAATCAGTCTGAATCGGTCTACGCCGATAAGCCCAGCTCATCTTCGAACTGCCTCTGTAATACTGGATTCAACTCAGTCAGCTATATAGAAGCACAGTTGCTGAGCGCCCATGTCATTTTGCACTTAAAACGCCATCTTGCAACACTGTTTATGGAGGAATTTGTCTACCGGTATATTCTAAATTTAAGCAATTAATCAGAACTTCAGTTTAATATGAATTTCATATTAAACTGTACGAGTTCACTGTGCACAACTGCACTCACTTTGGTCTTACCATGATCTCCAACCTACTGTAACTATAGCATTATGCAAACTTAGGCAAACAGAAGGTTTAAGCTGCATGTGGGCGGGGCTTCTGTTGCTTAATCACAGCCTGACCATATTAGCATTAACATAAGCTTTTCACCCACTGTGATAACTTCCCTAGAAGACACAACAGAATGCCCTCAGTGATGAACTTTAAAGGATTTTAACCGCAGTGATAAACGTTTTTGTGGCAAATGGTTCTTCCCTCTTCATTGATGATTTAATAAACACATCTACATCTCACTTCTTCTATTAAACCTTTGGCTAATGCTCAGGCACTGCCAGTGGAGGTGGGTTGGGTTCAGAGGCTCCTGCAGGAAGACGGTGAGTAATACAGTATTCCTAATAATAATTAAAAAAAAATAGCTTGTAGATAACAAGACTCTTATTGATCTGAGCCTTTCTAATGCACCCACAGGCACAGTGAATTCAAAGGAATAAACCTGTTTACCCCTGCAGGCCACACAGCAAGAAATGAAATTAATTAGTACACAGAAGAGAAGATATTTTATAGTTGCACTGGAACAGTGCAGCTGCATTTGCTACATTTATGTTTCTTTAGTGTCAAGCGGACAGTTTGCTAAAGTGACCAGCCATCTCTCACTGTGCAGACCAATGGAGGCCATTGCAACAGCATTTGCCTCTCATAGCCTCGGGATGATGAAAACATGTTGTGT